GACCAGTCTGTGTCGAGCACCGGCGCAGAGTGGCTGCGCGCGAGGGGGATGAGGTCGGGGAGCTTGGAGGGGAAGCCGAGGGGAAGAGGCTCGAACGGCGAGGGGAGTGGCAGGATCGCGAAAGCACCGCCACCCGAGGCATTCCAGTTGATGCTGATGTAGCGCTTCGGGGTAGGTCAGAGAGAGGGTACGGTGCGAACGGGAGCGACGCACCGCAGAGGCTGCTACGACGTTTGTGTCCCAAGCGCTGTTGGAGACTTTGATGTTGTCGAGGCCGTATTCTTTCTTTCCCTGCTGTCCAAAGACATGGCTGGTGGGACGGGTGCTGAGAACGGGATACACGTCGAGCATGATCACACACTTACCGATACTTTGATGCCCTGACAAAGCGAGACATGGTTTCAAGCCCGCGTTTCCCCCGACCGTCGCGCGAAGATGTGTCGAGTCTGATTGAGTGTCCGAGATGTCGGTGGGCCTTGTTTGAGCAGAAAATGAAAGCGACTATGCACGTAGACACAGCACCGAGTGCCACTCGTCGGGGTCCTTCGTGACCAGTGACCCAGGGCTTACATAACGCAGCAAGAACACACCAGGATGGTGGCTTTCACTTGACTTGTCCATTGCAGATGGCTGCTGAGAGGAGTCTGTGTGAGAGGATAAGAAAGGCATAGTGTTCAATCTATTCATCCATGACAGATCGCTGTGAGAGGTACAGATATGCCTCTGAACACCTGTCTTGGTATATTTGCAAGATGTGGGAGGGCATAGAAAGAATGATAGGCCACAGTGAATGTTATGTATGGAGGCCTAGCAGTCTTACGAGTATATCAGCATCCCTGGCAACATCCCTGAACCGATGGCTCGACACAACACATTCCAATCAGGAAGGCGAGTTTCCGTATTTGCTAGTCCACAGAGTGCCAGACGACCCCGAAACCGCTACTATATCGGGCATGACGTATCGATGCGGACAGCAGCGTCGCGATGATGGCAAGTACATAAGAGGAGAGTCAAAATGAATATCAATCGAAATTATTTGCCCACGCCCAGTTCACCAACGTCTTCCGCCGCTCGGGCTCCCGTGAGTGCTGCCGCCCCTTTCCTTTCCTTCCTCCCGCTCGTCGTGCCAATGTCAGTCCTACAGTGTACCGCCAGGGTGGGCTCGTCGCGCTGCGCTGTGTCCGTGCCCCGCGCGCTAGCAAGTCGCTCCCGACCACGCTTCCTAGCCACCGCCGCGTCAGGAGAGGTGCGTACACGGCGATGTGCAGCGGCTCCTGTGCACTGACCACCAGAGTGCAGCTCAGGAAGACCGCACTGTATGGCTTTCACCTCCAGAATGGTGCCAAGATGGTCCCGTTTGCGGGCTTCTCCATGCCGCTGTCGTACGGAGACGTCGGCGCAGGTGAGTGTCTTGCCGCTGCACGCTCCCATTTCTCACATTCGCACAGTGGCAAGTCACCATCACGTCCGCACGTCCGCCGGACTCTTCGACGTCGGACACATGGTCCAGTCCAAGTACGCCCACGTCCTCGTCCCCAGTCCGAGCCCGCATTAACCCCGGCCTAGCTTCCGCGGCGCGACCGCGACCGCGTTCCTCGAATGGCTGACGCCGTCCTCCCTCTCCGTCCTTGCCCCCTTCTCCTCAACACTCTCTGTCCTCCTCAACGAGCGCGGCGGCATCATCGACGACACCGTCATCACCAAGCACGCCGCCGATGCCTTCTACGTCGTCACCAACGCGGGCCGCCGCGAGCGCGACCTCGCGTGGTTCCGGGCGAAGCTGGCAGAGTGGAACGCCAGCGAGCACGCCGCAGCGGGCAAGGTCGCACTCGAGGTGCTCGAGGACTGGGGCCTCCTGGCGCTGCAAGGCGCGTGTCCACGGCTTTCTGCACCGATGCGGGGAACATAATGTAAACATCAGGTCCCGAGGCCGCACAGTATTTGCAAAACCTGACGACGTTCGACCTGACGACGCTGACGTTCGGCAGGTCCGCGTTCGTCCCTGTCAAGGGCACGAAGCTCCATGTCGCGCGCGGCGGGTACACGGGAGAGGATGGCTTTGAGGTTGGCTAGCTCTGCCGTCTCTCCAGCACGGCTATCCTGACAGACTGGTATCTTTCACACGCATAGATCTCCATCCCACCGGCACAAACGGAAGAGATCGCGGCCCTCCTCTCAAAGTCGCCCGTGCAACTGACCGGCCTCGGCGCGCGGGACAGCCTGCGGCTCGAGGCAGGCATGTGCCTGTACGGCCAGGACCTTGATGAGGATACAACGCCCGTGGAGGCAGGGCTGACATGGGTCATCGGTGCGTCCCGTCGGTCGCTTGTCGATTCCTCTTCATGTTCCTCACGCGGCGGCATGTGTAGGCAAAGACCGCCGTGAGACGGGCGGGTTCATTGGTGCAGAGGGCGTGTTGAAGCATCTGAAGGACGGCCCACCACGACGGCGTGTAGGCATGATTGTCGAAGGTGCACCTGCCAGACGTGAGTGCGCGGTGTGGCTGCGCGCGTAGGCTCTGACAGTATATCGTGCGCAGAGGGGGCCAAGATATTCGCGCCGTCGAGCAGTGACCTAGTCGGTACGTATTTGCCTTGCTGCTGCCATCCGCTCGGACCTGATGAGTGCATGTGCGGCCGCGCAGGTGTAGTCACGTCGGGCATCCCGTCGCCAACACTGGGCAAGAACATCGCGATGGGCTACGTGGAGTCGGGATGGCACAAAAAGGGCACGGAGGTGGAGGTGGAGGTGCGCAACAAGCTGAGGAAGGCTGTGTTGACGCCTATGCCGTTCGCGCCGACCAGATATTACAGAGGGTGATGCGGGCGTCTGCAGTCTGTGTGCGCTGATCGTGATCGAGTGCGTCCCCCGCACGCCCCGCGCCACATATGTTACCCCTCAGCTGACCCCTTGTCTCGTGAGCGTGCGAGAAGAGACCGAGTGGAATTGAGGAGATAGGGCAAGGGAAGGGGAATGGAGCGCAGTGGGGGGTGAGGCAGGACACAGGAAGGGGAGTGGGGCGCAGTGGAGCGAGGGAAGGGGAGTAGAGAGCGGTGGGAAATAGAGAGCGGTAAGGACAGCGGTAAGGAGTCGGGTCATACAAGGGAGAACACCACTGTAGTTCGCAACGAAATATATTTAGAGGCCTTGCTGCCACCCGTACACTCTCGTCCAGTATCGTCCCCGCTGCCCCGCTCATCACTCTCCTCGCCCGCCGTCGTCCGCGTCCCGCCACCAGCTGTCTCCATCCTGCGTGCGCGCGGATCGTCTGTACAGCCCAGTCAGCACGCCCCGCGCCAAGTCGCTGGCGCACGCGCTGTTCCCGGTCAGCGACGTCGTGCGTCCGGGCCAAGACGCTGCACGCTGCACGGCAACATTGCAGTCAGACCACCCAGCAGAGGCGCAGACCACCAGGACGTATGCCGACCGGAAGCACATCGCCGTGCGTTGACACCGTGCGCGCTCGCCCTCGCGCCAGCCCACGCGATCAGCATTCCGTGCGCGAGAACTCACCACCATGTCCGGACGCCCGCACACGGCGCCCGGTCAGCTCACCGCCCGGAACAGTGCCCGCGCAATGGTGTACATTGCGCTCCCGACGCCGCGATGCGTATTGTGCCCGCTCGATCCTGCGTCCCGCTCACGCCCAGCGCACCCAGCGTGCCACTCCGCTTCGCGCGCGCTGATGACCGCACTTCTGTAGGTCGCGCCACACTCTATTCTTCGCCGCCACCTGCGCCTGCAAGGCCGCCGCTCAATGGTCAATGCAACCACAAAAAGTAAGCCCGAACTTACCGTTGCAGCCCGCGTCTGGCCCAGCTGGAAGCCCAGCTGCGCCACCCGACGCTCCCGCCTCCAATTGCCGCGCTCATGGCCGGTCACTCCAAGGCCCGCATCTTGTGAGCCCGTCCATTGCGCTCCCGGCTACCGTCCAGCGAGCGTGCCCGGTCCCATTGTCTTCCTAGCCGGTCAGGGCAAGGCAGCCCGAACGTCCCGCGCGTGTGCCTTCGAGTATCTATCCGGCCGCATGATGCAGGTTTCCAACTCACCTCGCCAAACGCGTTGCGCGCTCTCCACTCCGGCAACACAATGCCCGACTACCGCCTTCGACACGCAACCGGTCGTACATGAGCATCAGCGCGCCGGAAGTAAACTTACCATGTAGCTCGGCCACCAGTGAGATCAGTGACGTCCTGTGATCACTGTCGAGCACCGGCTGCCAAAACGGAAGCCGGACCTGTTTCTGCCTGCACCAGTACGCTCCGCGCTGTACAGCCCTTCCACCAACGGCCGCATAGGAGCGCGCACTGAGCACGCCAGGTTCATGTCAGTGTCGCACTCACTGTCTGACACCCACACTGTGAGCACCCGCGGGGCGTCCTCGTCACTGTCATCCGCTTTGAGGTCCGCAAATGCAGTCCAGTTGCCCGTCGTCCACTTCTGCAACATCACGCGCACCAAACTCAATTGCTAGCCAGTGCCGCAGTTGGGAAAAACAAAATGCGACAAACTCACCGTGCACTCGAGTGTGACGGCAAGACCACCATCTCCCCGCCAGAGGCCGATGCGCCCTTCGCGAAGGGCAAGCCGAGCATATCATGCATCAGGGTACTAGAGATTTGCAATTTCATGCCGAGCCGTTGTCGGCAACGTCAAGGAGCGCGCCGAGGTCTGCGGACCTGCGAAACAACGTCGAATAGGTCTTGTCTTTTGTCGCGGTCGTCTTGCTGCCAGGGACGCCTACTGCGAGTACGCACAGCGAGACCTGTCTTGATGTCCGTACGTGCGCCACTCTCGTGGTGTCGGGTTCAGCAGGCCTCGCCCTGCGAGCCGTTGCCTTCCGAGGAGGTCAGAGTTGACCATGGCGTCCTGATCGAGATCAGTGCTGATCGATCACGTCCCTCGATCAATGTACTTACTTCGCCCAGCCTCCACCATCTCGCTCACGACCTTGCGATACATCTTGTCACCATCCCCACTCTCGTATACTTGGACGATTGGCGCAGCACCTGATTGTAGGGAACCTAGCAAAGCCTTGTCAGTGACTGAGAATACAAGACAATTACGACCACGAGAACACTTACTCGGAAGCCAGAAATGCGGGTGTAGACATTGTTCGGCATGGGATAACAGATGGAAACAGAGAGGGATGTGCGCTGGGCAGAGAGGTAACAAAGTGATAGCAAGGGACATAGCGGGGAAATCGTCTCAGTGAGGTTGCGCATCAATTATATATAGTCTCGGCTAGACAGCGCGAGCAGATCCTCTGATATGTTCTATTTTCAAACATAAGGTGACTGTCGCCAGGCTGCTAATTTCAAATTTTGACAGTGATGGTGCCCCTCGCAACAACGACAGGATCTGTAAGTGCATTCACACGCCTTACACTGTATTTGGCAACCTCGCCTATGCTTGCATATGTTTCGGGAGAAGTGCTGTGGGCCAAAACAGTCTTCGGGTTGTCTTATGCTCAGCCGTGATGTTTGTCATGGTGCTGACCAATCGGCCCAGCTCTTACTGTTGGAACAACCAGGCGAGTGCATGCCCGACTACCAGCTTGCCGACATGCCGCGCTGCAGCACGATAGTGCCTTGTTTCTACATACCTGATTTAGATAAGTCTTTACTATATTAGGCCGAGTTCCCGCATGTAATTACTTTGCACGGTTGCCTCCCCACCCCGAGGACGAGACAAACCGCTTCATATTTGATCTTTTCCCATGCCACTTGCTTCCGTAAACCTTTGCGCTTGCTCATTCAAACCCGACGCCGACACTCGTTTCTACACTTACAAAAATGGTAGGACCATACACTCAAATTTTGGTATGTTTGCACCAATCGGAAGTCTACAGGTCCCGCCAATGATTGATCACAATAAGGTTGGTCAATTCTTGTCACTCATGTTGGAACAACGGTGTGACAGTGTGGCGAGTGCATTTGTCCACGGGCATCGCCATGCCCGTAAGGGACAATCACGTGCAGTATGTACATTGCGCAGGGTTGTTATAAACTACGATAGGGGCCTCTGGCCACCGATACTGGCATTGATTCAACAAGGATACATAGTGTACGAGTAACAGGAACTGGTGCAGTGTGCGTGTGCAATCGCAATACAGACGGAACAGCATCTACAAATGGCTGTTGGTAAGTAACCATCCTTTTGTATTTCCGCAGCTGGCTCACAACACACACCCGCTCTCCAACCAAGCTGCATTAACAGCCATACACGGCCTCAACTTATAATGGCTCAGACGGACAGATCAATAGCAGGAACCAGGCTTACACTGCGGTTCCACTCACATCGCTCATTGTTCGATTTCTCATCTTCCCTCATGCAGATCCTGTCTCAGTTCGGGCCACCCGCATCCACCTCATATTTCCATTCCTGTCTAATCCCTCCCGC